TACTATAAAAGCCTGTCAAACTCATCCTAGATCTGCATCTCAGCCTCTTTGAGTTGCGGTCTAGGTGAGTGGTTTGCGTTGTACTTTATGTAGAAGTTATCTAACTTTGAGTTGCGGTCTAGCTACTGCTTCGCGCTAGTAAGGCCGTGCCCGCTTGACATCTGTCCGGGACTCTTTGCTGTGGTCAAGATATCCACCATTCTCTCGCACGTCTGTATACGTGTGTTCGTGTCCCTTCTCCGTGGGCTCAGACTCGCCCTCCTTCTGCTCGCGTTCGTCTTACGCGTGGTTGTGTTTGTCTTGGGCATTGCGCCGCAACAGGTTGCTCTTGCGCTCGACTTGCTTCCTACGCAAGTACCCGAGGGTCAGACAGCGCAAACCTTAACGACTGTGAACTCACCCTTTCTGCAATCGCCGCTGTTCCTGATCACTGGCGCGAGCATCGTCGTCGTCTTCTTGTTGATCCATGCCTTCCGCTTCTTCACCCTCGTCTTCTTCACCAAACGCATGATCGTTCCGTGTATCCTCATCGCCATCGTTCTCCAGCTCTTCTGCGTCAATCTCCATGCCTTCCTCTTCGTCTGTCTCCACTGCTTCGTTATCGATGAATCCGACACCGTCGTTATCTGCGTCGGAATCACGTTCTTCCTCGGTGGATTCGTCCTCGTATTCGTTTCCATTAGTCTTCCTGCGTGGCCTGCGCTTGGCACCTGCATTCGCTTTCGCCCGAGAGCGCGTCGCAACGCGACGAGGACGGGTGGGTAACACGACCCTACACACATCACAGTTAGCAAGTTCTCATGCACGGCAATCAAGTGAACAAACTCGACACGTCGCCTAACAGGGCGCCTGCAAGAAACAGTCAGCCATGAATGAGACATGCCATGTACGTGAGACGTACAGAACAGGTCGCTTCAAACCCGTCTCCGAGTCCTTCTTCGCTCTATCATTTCTGAGTGGGATTCGACTGGAGACAGGGAACGCGACTCACCGGCCACGGTTTACCGGTGAAGACCAACTGGGCTGATCCTCCTCCATATCCTCATCGTCGCTTGGATCGTCACTGACAAAGGAGCGTCAAGGACTGGTGCCAAAGTCTGCGGCCACGGCTACTTACGGGCCCTTGTCCTCACGAAGATTCCCAGCCCCGCCTGTGCCAGTCCTTTTCATTCATGAGCACGCGCGACTTAAAGTCACGATGAGCAAAACGTACGCAAACATATCCTCGTCGCTCATACTTTGCTCCTTCACAATTGGCGAAGATGATTTCTTGTTCCGCGCATTGCTATCGCGACTGAGGGATCGTTGTGAGCGCAACCGAATGATGAACCTGAACACACAGTATTCTCACCGACTAGCAACACTCGCGCGGTTTGACCGCCGTGGAGCTGGTGCCTTGCGCGCCGGCGACGCGACCTTCGGAGTGACTGTCGACGTCTTACGAGGGGCCATACTGAGAGAGATGAATTGCAGGGATTGATGAAAGTGTAGGCTGCGAGATGGCAGGGGTGAACCGTTGACTTGACAGGCCTTGTGTGCGCGCTCTTATATACGCCGGCCCGAGTGGTCTACGCGATTGTGACAAGGAGAGTTAGGTTGCGATCGCCGCAAAATTGGTTTGGCAACACGTACGGCGGGGCGCG